AAGTCACCACATATGAACATTAATTTATGACTTATTGTCAAGTAATTTTCTTCCATCCAGTCATTCAATTTTTCTATTCTGGCTCCAGGTGCTCTATAAATACAGCTTATTACAACATTTTTCTTTTTTTCCACGAGTATTTCTACAGTCACACACTCCAGCAAATTATCCACCACCCTAGACATTTTGTCCACTTTCTTATAACAAAAGTTTTTATCTATGTACAAGGCCACACCACCTCCCATCTTATTCTCTCTGTTTGTGCATACCAAGTCATAGCCATCAAGGTCAAAATCCATTCCCCTTACATTATTCATCCAAGTTTCAGAAATAGCGATTATATTAAAAAAATGTTTTAGACTACTAACATAATGTTTTATATTCTGAAAGTTTGCGTATAAACTTCTGCTATTAAAGTGAATTAATGATAATTTGTTTTTGGTCTTAACATTGCTGTTAAACTGCTCATCCGTGTAATACTTGCAGTTATTTTCAGAGTTCTTAAAAAAGTTTTTTTCAGGGTCAAAGTCATCGTCCGATTCATGATAATGTTGTTCAGTGTCTCCAATTGTGTTCAGTTCCAGATCCAGTCCCTCATAAACTATTAACCTCTGTAGCAAATCACTTGCCTCATTCCGTACGTGGGTCATACTTGTTGTTGGTTCCTGCTAATTGTTAGTTCCAACGCTCATCTGCCCTCGCAGATATCAATATACCTGCGTGTTTCTTCATACAGCTGAGGGTCCAGCGACCCCTTCATACTCTCCTTGTCTCGGCATACTGGTCCTTGGCGTGCTGGTCATAGGTCCTGGATTCTGGTTCCGAGGACGGGTCACTAGTCAGTCATACTGCAGGAACGCAATGTCTCCTGTAGGTTGACTGTGGACCTGTATGTTCAGTTACTTTTTCTCAAGAACTTCCCCTGACCTGCTATGGATTGCATTTTAATTGTCCTGTAGCAGTTAACAAGTGTTTCTCTGGAAGTGTAGACACACCTTAACTATGACATTCTACAGAAAGAGAATAGGGCTTGTCAGTCAACAAGGCTTCCATGGAATCTTTCATAACATTATTTTTATTGCCCAAAAAAGGGTTCAGAGTTCATGCACACACAAGCCGCGAGTGATTTGTGTCAGGTTGACTGTGGACCTGTATGTTCAGTTACTTTTTCTCAAGAACTTCCCCTGATCTGCTATGGATTGCATTTTAATTGCCCTGTAGCAGTTAACAAGTGTTTCTCTGGAAGCATAGACAAACATCAACTATGAAACTCTGCAGAGAGAGAACAACAGGGCATGTCAAAACATCAGGGCTGCCATGTGAGTCATGAGTCATGAGCTTAACCCTCATTGAAATACTCCATGTGGAAGTTCAAAATTTCAAATCCAAACCATTATTGGAGGATATTGTATCTTTTTTTTTTTTAATATTTTTGACTTTTTAAAAAATTTTCATTGTCATGTTGCAGATCACTATACATACAGTATATACATGCATACACACACATAGTTCCTCCATTTGTGTCAGGTTGATTGTGGACCTGTATGTTCAGTTACTTTTTCTCAAGAACTTCCCCTGATCTGCTTCCGATTGAATTGTACTTGATCTGTTCTGGACAGAAGTGTCTGCTAAACAACCAGTCAACATTCAGTCAGGTCAGGTGCATTCCATATGGTCGCTGTTGTCCTGCAGGGCTGAGTGTTGTCAAGATTGTCTGGTGGCTTGTAGGGGTGCATGGTGGGGGATAATACTTGCTGTGGGTCAAATGTGGCGATTGGTTGTGCTGCATGCTGGTCTGTGAGTGACAGAGGTGTGTGACCTGTCCCAGGTGGAGGAGCGATCTAAGCTGAACAGACAGAGCTCCCCAGCGCTGCAGCACAAAGTGTCCAACCGCATCTCCGACCCCTCCCTCCCTCCCCGCTCCGAGTCCTTCAGCAGCGGGGGAATGCAGCCCGCCCGCACCCCACCCATCCACCGCTCCATCGAACCACAGGTGTGTGTGTGTGTGAAATAGGAGGCATGTGAATGTTCAGTGCGTTTCCCAGGGATCAGTATTTCCAAACAAGTAATCAGACCTCTTCATGCCTTGTATCCTGCTTTTAAAAGTTCATGCCTCCATATTAGTTAGTCTTTTTTGTTTTCCTCTCTTCTCTTTTTTCTCTTTTTCTTCTTGATCCATGTCCTGCTATTGCCCTTTCTCTTCATACAAATCTCCATTTTCACCTTTTTCTAATAACCCTACTTTCTTTCTCTATTCTATACATGTCTTCTCTCCCTCTTTCTTCACCCCTCATCTCACTCTTTGTGTCCCACAGATGGCTCACTTGGTTCCAGTGAAGACCCACTCCAGCTCTATATCTGGCTCTCAGTCCCTGCAGGATCAGACAGGTACAGCTCTGAGTGAAAGCACTGGCGTGGGCTCCGCCAGGCCTGAGATGCCCCGACAGAATTCAGACCCCACATCGGACACCCCTGGACCCCCACTGAACATCACTGGCAGGGAGGAACGAGATCGGGAGCGAGACAGAGATAAGGATCGGGACAGGACCACCTGGCTGAGAGAAGAGGACATCCCACCCAAGGTTAGAGGATTACAATCAGAAAAGATGGCTGACAATCACTGGCAATGTGTAGTTTTATAGTAGTGTGCAAACAATTCATTCCATCATAATCTGTACATTGATTTATTGTTTTCACTTTCTAATTGTTAGAACCTGTAATTATATTGCCAGTCAAGTGTGATGACTGAAATGATCACTTGTCTCGGAAGCCGGTGACTTAGCAATACAAGCATAATGTAAAATGCTTTGTTTGTCACACCATGACTTGATTTTAATTAGACTCAATTAGCACTGTTTGAACCACCACCTTATTGTGGTGGAGGGGTTTGAGTACCCAAGTGATCCTAGCAGCTATGTTGTCGGGGGCTATATGCCCCTGGTAGGGCTTCTCAAGGCAAACAGGTCCTAGGTGACGGGTCAGACTAAGAGCGGT